TTAAATAAATGCTATTACACCCAAAGCTCCTTTTTTTGGTGGTGACTAGTCAAGGAGGTAGAAAAATGGAAATAAAGTCATCGTGTAAAGCCTTTGTGCCACAGAATCGGCCACAGACGCTGGCAGCACTTTTAAAAAGCAGAGCCAAACCTCTTTTTCCCATTAAGAGTTAGGATAAACTATTTATCTATATTATATACACTCATCTGTCAAAGCTGTTTAGGAGGTCCAGAGCCGTATTTAGAAAATGAAAAATGTATATATGTTCGAACATTTTAAATATTTAAACTATACGAAGCAAACCTGATTTATTTTTGCCTCACACTTTAACCGAGTCTTTTATGTAATATAATACACCCACTTTTCTTTTAGAAGAGTTCAATCTGGGGAGCTGTGAGGTGGGATTGTTTGAGGGTTTCGCGGTGAAGCTCTTAACTGTTGTTGCATCTACAGAAAGGCTGTATCATCTGGAAATCTAAGTCTGCCTTCTGGTTTACCAAAATCAACTTAAGCAGCGTTAAGATAAACTGTAAATGGCTTTTCTGTTGAGACGTGTCCAACATTGTGACTTCTACATTTGCGAGGACCACACAGCTCTTCCAGGGGCCGTCCAGCGGCAGAATATAATCTGATGTCAGAGCTGAGACGTGCCTCTGGGAAACTGTGCGCTGTTGTCTCCCACGTGCCGATTCAAGAAGCACATTGTCGTCACAGCTGGTGGGTAGAGCTGGCAGGCTCAAAGCTGGAAAAAAATACACTTGATTTGAGGCAGCTACTGATTTCAGTAGGTTTTTGTTCTCACAAGTCGTTGCTCATCAAAAAGCTCATCTGTGTTGTGTCGCCCAGATCCCCCCCTCTCTGACGTGCGCTCACTGTTTGCAGGGCAGTGGGCAGTCCTCTGGTCATGGATCCCAACAGCATCTGCAGGAAGGCCAAGCGTTTGGCGGGGAAGCAGGCCGAGCTGTGCCAGACCCAGCCGGAAATCGTCAGCGAAGTGGCCAAAGGAGCCAGGCTCGGCGTCAGGGAGTGCCAGTACCAGTTCAGGTACCGGCGCTGGAACTGCACCAGCCACAATAAATACTTTGGCAAAGTACTTCAGCAAGGTGGGTGAAGAAGGCATGCCTAATATATATATA